CTCTTGTTCATTAATTTTTCTACAGCTCGAATAACGAGTTCATGTAATCAGCAAATAAACCGCAAACTTTCATGTTTGTTTGCGAGGAGTACTTGTGACGAAAGTGAGAGGAGAACAAAAATAAAAACTGAACTTGGAGGAAAAGGATTCTTTTTTGTCTTGAAAGTGCAGTAGTATTGATCTAAAATATTGTAAACAATCCGTTTTACGCTGTTTAAGTTGTGTCAATCTAACGTCTTCTAGTAGATTATTTCAGAGGAGAAGAATGTCTTCAAACTTTTTTTTAGGAGTAAAGTAGAGGTGGTTTGAGGATGGGACTTAATCAGAGTACGGGGAGTAAGGTGGTAGAGTTTTGTTTGATATATGAAGAGAAAGAATGAATGAAAAGTTTTTCAACAGAAGCCTGCGAAAAAATATATTTGTGAAGATGTGCTTCAGTATTTGAGATATCAATTATTCTCTTCATGGGGAATTTTTATTTGCTAAAATTCTTAACCCTTTTTGGTTTTGTTTTTCTTTGTTTAATCCTGCTATTGTTACTGAAAGATTATTGGTTTGTCAGCAGGAGACAAAAAAAAAAGAGAGAAAAAAAACAGAAAAAGAGTGACTTAGTCTACAATTTTGGGTACTTCTACCACCAGCCTAATCTATTTATTTTAATAAGTACTGCTTTAGTTTTTTCAGGCACAAGAGATGAGTTACGAAAAAAATCATCAAGTTTTTTTTTTGTTTTAGACTGGAAAACTGTTTCCTCTTACAATTGGGATCTATTAGATAATAATACCTGCGCAGACGCAAATAGGACACTGTTCACTAAAAAAGTATAGAACAAAGTTGAATAGTCTGTTCAGCAAAAAATGGAGTTAGGCTGGTGTAAAGAATTGGAACGTTGGCAGTTGGATTGATGGAACGGAGGAGGAAGGGGCAGAAAAGTTTGAAGAAATTTTCATTGGTAATATTGGCAGTGAAGAAGGATTTTGTATCAAAATTTATTTTAACATCTTTGTATTCCTCCAACTGGTTCTTTAATCAAGGCCATATTTTTATTTTGGTTTTACTACAGTATGGAAAAGCAGAAAAGCAGGAAGGATTAAGGGAAAAAAATTTAATGACAATTTTATTATGACATCAACGTCTATTTGTCTTCATCATTTTTTGGTCATTACTTCTCTTATACTTTTTTTTGAGCAATTTTAGTTCACAAAGTAGGCTCACGAGTGTTCGTTATTTGAATGGTCTCAGAACTTTATATTGGATTTTGAAAAACATTAGCAAAAATGATTTTCTGTATTTATAGTCATATGCTCGTACCAGTACCGTTTATTTCAACGCTGCAACAATAACCAGAAGTTGTCGTCATTTCAAAATGAAGGTAACAGAAAGTTGGTGTTAGGTAAATAAACTGTTTGGATTTCAGTCGATAGTTGTTTTTCGCTGAGGGATAGAGAACAGAGATGGGTTCTGGACGGCATACAAGAAAGGCTCGAAAAATAAGGCCCAGTATGGTGCTGAACCGGAAAAGATCTTACAAAAAGTATTTGGAGCGCAAGCGTCAATGGTAAATTGTTTTCACAACTCTCTAAAATAGGAGAAGGAGAGAAAATGACATATTTAGCGACTGATTATTGCCATTAGAAGATTCATTGGTAAATCTGCGTATTGTTTTCATAATTAAGAATTTTTGCGACGCTTTCTGCAGCACCAAATTATTTTTGATTAATCTGTAAAACAATGAATGATGAATAGTCGGCTTTATTTTTATTTTTACTGTTTTCCTCGGCCACTGTTTTGTGTGTATTACAGGTTTTATGTCAAATTTGGTAAAATTCTTTGAGGAAAAATCTGACTTTCTTTGCACCATTTTTTTTTTTTGACATTTTTGGATCACCATTAATTACTCTTTTAGTATTGAAAGCATAAATCTAAAAAACAATTCAGGGAGTATTTTGGTGATCTTTTTAATGATCGATTACAGCTGCAAGTCAAAGGAATTTTTCCATTGTTGCAAATATAATGACAGACATCAGAAAGTCTTTTCGACAAGGAACTGGGCTCTTTAGCAACTTTAGTTTTCAAAAGCTGGTTCTTCTGATAGATTCACCAGATGTCATTTTCGTCATTTTCGCATTAGCTTTTTTGCCATTTTCAGGCAGTCAAACGCAGTGTATACCGGACATCGAACGCCAAAGTAAGTATAAAATTTTTCCTACTTTCATCAAAAAAGCCTTCGTAATCGTTTGATTGGAAGATGATAAAAGTGCCATTTGTCATTAAGTCCTCTACGATAATGTAAAAAAATTGCACTACGTAAATGGTGAAGTTGACGTTTTGATGGAGTGAATTTTATTACTAGCATGTAAAAAGCGCTTTTTAGTGTTGCTGTTCCACCACCCACAACTAGGAAGATTAAGGAAAAAAAGGTATGCTCAGGTGACTTATAAAGATTAAGGAACCAAAAAAAAGTTGTTTTATTTTTCAACCGTATCTGCCCCCAAACTTAATGAACGATTTGCTATACCAGATTGAGCGTTGAAATAGTGTTCCACAATTTTTCTTTATTTTTTTCTTTTGGTGGAAAAACGCTGCTTATTTTTCTCCTTTTATCGTTCACGGCATCACATAAGACTACATCAATACCTGCTTTTTAGCTGGATCCAGAAAAACAAGCAAGGCGGCAGCAGCAGCGTGAGCAAGAACGTTTGAAGAAAACATTGGCTAGTCAGCAGGCTTCGACCTCTGAAATTAAGAAACCAAATCAGCTCAAGGTGAGCAGACTGAAAGCTATGCGATGGTAAAGACAGTTGACAACAACATAATAAAGACAATGAAGTACCACAACGAAAATGCTCATCAAAATTTGCACCCAAAAAGTTTTTTGCTACTTTATCATATATACAGACGGCATTATCAACATGGATGTGAGGATCAAGACCACTACCTTATACGTTTATCACAGTGTTCCCATGATAATTTAGTGATTGTGCGATTAGTACTCAAGAGTAATAATTTGCTGGAGATTCTTTCTATATAGTGTGTTTATTCCATAG